TGATAGAGGGTGTCATTGTGGGGTTAGCAAGGAACCAGGCACTTGGGAAATTCCCAAGAATCCACAAGGATGACCACAATCATGAATCTAAGGAATAGTGGACATGGTGCCTTCATTGCCCTTCTCCTGTAAGCAGATTGATGACTACCTTAATTGTCAACATAGAACTTTCATCCAGCGACTGGTGGAAGCCAAAGCAGAAATCCACGGTTAAACACTGGACTGAGCTCTGGGAACCCAGTCTTAGAGAGGGAAGAGCATTAATATGAGTAAAGGGGTCAAGACCATAATGGGGATATCCACGAGACAGCTGACCCAAGCTAGTGGGAACTCACTGACTCTGGACTGACACATGGGGAGCCTGAATGGGACCAAGCTAGGTCCTCTGAATGTGGATAACAGTTGTGTGGCTTGGGTAGTTTGTAGGGCCACTAGCTGTGAAACCAGTATTTATCTCTAGTCCATGAACTGGATTTTTGTAGCCCATTCCCTATGGCGGGATGCCTTGCTCAGTCTAGTTATGTCGAGGAGAGCCTTGGTTCTACCTCAAGTAATGTGACAGACTTTATTGACTCCCCATGGAAGGCCTCACCCTCTCTGAGAAGTGGATGTGGGGGATGGGGGAGTGGGAGGAGGGAAGGGAAGGGGAACTGGGATTAGCATGTAAAATTAAAAAGACAATGTGGGGGTCCATGGCTCTACCATGGCTGGGATCTTTGCTGAAGTCTGCATTGTGACCAAAGGTCACATTGAGGCCCAGGGTTATGGCCACAACCATTCCCACCTGAGTGACCAGTCTCTTCTCTCCACCAAGAGCCAGGATGTCTTCCCTGCCCAAGCTGCTGCTGAGGGCCATGTCTGGGTTTGTGTCTGAGCTATAGGTGGGGTTTGTGTGGATGTCTATGGCCTGAGTCATCTTCAGAGGTCCTAGGAACCATGAGAGATGAAATCAGAGGTCCATGCTGAGCTTACCACATCCTTCGCTGGCCCTGGGAAAGCTGGCCTTGCCTCTACTGAACACTACAACAAGAGAGTTGACCCCTGCAAGCTGGAGAGATTGCCCCCATCCCTCACCATGGCTAGAGTGAACTAACCCTGAGGGCACACATGAAGGGGAAACTTCTCGCTGAAAGTGGGTGACCCAAGAGGCCTGAGTTGACCAGATTGGCTACTATCCAGGCCCACAGCCAGGCCTTGTGTTAACCCACCCTAGCATCTACCTAGGATTTGCTGGAGCTGGTGAAGAGACTGGCCCTGTGGAAGGATACCCACAAGATCTCCAAGACTAGTAGCAGCCACAGGATATCCCAGAGGAATTTCTGTTAGGATTCAGTGATAGTGGTGTACCAGAAACCAGAGGCCTTGAACCAGACCAGTGACTCATGCAATGAGCACTTGCCACTTACAGGACAAAGAGGTACACTACACGGGACACTGAAGCCTCCAATGCCCCGGGATGATGAAGAGGTGATGGAGAAGCAGGAAAGAAGGAGAAGCAAACAGATTTTTCTGTTGTGGATTTTGTTTTGTTTTTGTTGTAGTTTTTTTTTTTTTTGTCTGTTTGTTTGTCTTGGTTTTGGGGTTTTTTGCTTTTGTTTGCTTGATTGCTTACTTTGATTTGTTTCCTTATGTTGGCGGTGTGGCAGGGATGAGGGGAGGACAGGGGTGGGGACCAGGAGATGAACAAAATTGGGGTGCATGATTTGAAACTCACAAAGTCAATAAAGACGTTATTAAGGAAAAATATTATAGTCAAACTTTAAAAACATAACAAAATAAAACCAATAATGGGCTTTACTATGACCCTTGTACGTGTGTGTCATGTGCTCTGCTCATGGGTCCTTCATTGCCCTCTCTCACTCTCCCTTCAAACGCTGCCCTCTCGACATAGGGGACGGCTGGCCTGGGAAATAAGGAAAGGCACGAAGATTGTCTAGAAGAGGCAGCCAGCCCAATGGAGTTCAGCCCAATCCCAGTGTCTAGACTTCGTGTGGTGGGGTGTCACTGTGGGACAGAAGCACCTAGGACCTAAAGAACACAGTCATAGTAAGGAAGTGACAAGATCTCAAAGGTTCGACAGCTAGAAGCTGCCAGATTACCACAAAATGATCAGACTTTGTCCTGAAGAAAGATATGAATGCCACACAGCTGCCATAGTATACACCTCATGAAATGGTCTTTTTGCTGCTAAATTGACATAGAATCAACATCTGACCCCAAACTCCACAACTGGATCAACTGAGACACTGCCTGTACTGCCTAGACATTCACACCGCCTTCCTGGCTCAGGGATTGGTTACCGTGCCACGACCAGTAGGATTTCACCAAGAGAAAGGAATGAGAGGAAGGCACTAACGCAGAGGAGCAAACATCCTTCCCACCACAGCCTTACTGCATATGTTATTCCATTTCTTCCAGTCTTCCCTTGAGACTATAGTAACTGTAAGGAATGAACCTGAGACCCTCATGCAATTTGTGCAAATTCTTAGCTGGAGTGATATGGGATATCAATATAATAGTGATAAATGTGTGTGTGTGTGTGTGTGTGTGTGTGTGTATCTATGTATGTGTGTGTCCTGCCAAGTATACCCAATGTTGGAGCCATTTCTGAATTAATGCATGGTGGCTTCCAAATGGCATGATGATTTTCTATTATCATTGCTGTTTTCCACTTGCTAATTCGGTTATTTTCAATTATTTTTTCCAGATACACCCGTTTACATTATTCAGCTGGACTCCTTTCCTTTTCTGTTTGTACCCTTTCTCTAGGATTTTTAGATCTAGTTCAACTTCTGTTTCCCTGTGTGACTGTAACTGTGTGCTTGTGTCTGTTCTTCCCACTCTTGCAATGATAACTAAAAATTTTAATCAGCTACTGTATTGCAGTCTGCCTCCGATAATGTGATAAGCACTTTATCTGCGCTGATTTGATGTTCCGAATGCCTGTGTGATAGTAGTGTGTTTGATGCCTACATTCTACAAACAAGGAAGGCGCCATCAAGGTAATGTTTCTAAGTATAACTCCTACCACCTTTCCCTATCATGAGGAAATCCCTTATACAGTATTCAAATATGCTCTGTGTCTTCAAAGTGTTCTCCTTCTAACATCACTATAGGCTGAGAATTAGGAGCTTCTGCTGTGAACAGATAGTGAACACTATCTCTGCCACAGTCTCCCCTTGTTATTCTGTAATTCCCTAAAATGTAAGCACACACACACACACACACACACACCACACACACACACACACACACACACTGAACTATATCAGTCTGAACAAAAAGCAATCATAGCTGAAGAGCGTTCTGTGTGAGGTTTTCTACTTGCCCCCAAACAAACACAGCAGCTTCATCACAGAGAAGAGGGACCTTGGAGCTCTCTTGAAGACATTATTGATTTCACTTCAATGCCTCCCCAACTGTCCCATTTTGCAATGTCTGGTGTCTCCGTGGCAATGGGAACAGCAGTCCTCACAATCGTAAGGGCTGACTGCCTTGGAGACTGCAGGTTATTCCCCTGCTGCCCCCAGTAGCTCACTTCAGCCCCCATTGCAGCAACTAAAGCCCCAAGTTGCAGCAGGCCACATGGGTTCCTGGGTGTGTCACACATCCACACCTCCTTTCACCCCCACCCTTCCTGCCCAGATCCTTCCCATGGAAACTCATCCTGATGACGTTACTAATCAGAATAGCGCTTCTAGCCTATGTCTTCTTCTTCCAGATTGTCCACCAGGTTCTGGTTTAAAGTGGGAAGTGGTTGGCAGACTTGTGGCTGATATGGTAAGAGAGAAAGCTGGGAGACTGGGAATCATGGTCACACAGACCTTGAATATACATGCATTCTGCTACGGGACATAAACTACTCAGTTAAAAACAGAACGCACTGGCCTCTTCTTGGCCTTTGCTTTCCTTGGAGTAACCAAACAATGCATTTCTGGCCAACCAGAATAATGGAAGTCATTCTGGAGGTGCTTTTGGGATGTGGCTAGCCAGCCATGCTTCTTTGTGCATTTCCCCTTCCATACCTTAACAGGGAGTGTAACGACATCTGGTGTCCACGATAGGAAAACTCCAAGAGCATTCCAGCCACTCTCCCTTAACAAGCACCGCATACTGTCTCATCGGGGCAGGTTAAATGAGAGGAGAAACCCGAAAACAATTGCCTTGCTTTGCCCATTGTGATTTGGACTTTTTTATTATGTGCAGCTGAACCTAGTTCCTTCCTGACAAATTTCTCTTCTTATTTGTACTGTCAAGTTTCTGTTTGGTGTCTGTTGAAACCCTGTGTCTAATAACTGACAGGGAAGGGAGTAACCATCTTATCACTGAGGATTTGGTGTCTCCAATTAGGAGACTGCTGCATCTCGAGATACCTTTCTCATTACGAACTGTACTGGCCACAATATCTGTTGAATCCTCATGCTACCTTTGCAAACAACTTCTTGTTGCATGACAGAGGCCGCTGGCTCTGCACTCTGCACCTGAGCTTCAGCACAGTTAACATACCTTCAGACCCCGTGCCTTCTCCCCTTCACTAGTCTTGCACCTCACTACCCATCAAATTCATGTGAACACAGTTCTTACATGTGCACTAATTTCCTTTTACAAGCAGACGTAGGCACACACTCAATTATAGTCTTTGAAAGTTGTTACAATAGTTGTTAATAGCATTAATGTGTCTGCTACCTAGTTCTTTTATACTTTTTAAAATGTGCCTTGTTTTGCTCGCCTGAATGTCTATGCATATCCAGTGACTGTGGAGGCCAGAAGAGGACATCAGATTCCCTGGGATTACAGAAGGTTGTGAGCCACCACTGGGTGTTGGGAATTGAACCTGGGTCCTCTGGAAGAGCAGACCATACTCTTAACCACTGAGCGACCTCTTTAACCCCTGCTACTCATCCCATAATGTTGTTTTCAGACGCTGGTCTTTTCCTGACAAGATAACACCGATCCTGGGCAACCTAAGTGTGGTTTTCTGTTTTCAAGTATTATCTTACCTGATTTTTGTCAAGTGAAAATTTTGAAAGGTCTTCATGACTTCCCAAAATTCCAAATTTCTTTTCTTCATTTCTCTTTTAAAGATAGATAAGAAAATGAGTCCAGTAGCATGGCCATTTCTGACTCTTCATTCCATATGCCAAAGCTACCTGCTCTAATTCCTCAGCATGTTTTAATGAGAGAAACAAACTTTTTGAGTCTTCCTTTTGCCAAGTTTTTGGACATTTATGCAAACACTAAATTTTCTCAGGTTATAATTCTAATCAAACTTGACAACTGTACATTTAATTACATTGAGTAATGTAAATTGTCTTCCACTTAACCCACTGATTCACATAAATCAGCCATCCAGAGGAAGGCCATAGATGCTGCTTCCCCCAAACTTCTATGCACAATCATTTAGAGATTTCAAAGAATTTTTAATATTTATTTTATTCAATCTTTGCAACATGGATGGAGTTTTGACTCCTGTTGCTGGCAAGGAAACTAGCCATGAAGCTTGGCCCTGACTTAGCGCCCTACACTATTGTGCCAACGGCAGCAGTCATTGGAACACACTTTCCTTCCATCTAATGGCAGGACAGAAGGAAACTTCAAACCATTCGGCCCAATGGCCCACCAGTCTAGAAACAACTCTGAGTTTCTAATGTCAGACATTAGTAGTTTACTGATTGACTACAATTCCATCCTCTCTGCTGCATAGATCTTATCATTATGAATTAGGTCTTTCATAAAATCAAGTTTGAACTATTTATAACTTTTACTCATTGCCTTTCTTCTCATTTTTGAAGAGACAAAAATGGTCTGTAATCACTAACCAAAAGTGAATGTTCTAAAAAGATTCTTGTTCAAATTCCCTTTAAGAAGAAACTGACAGCACCATTAATTATTCAAAGACACTTTTTTGCACACCTGTCGGCATCCTGATCCACCTCTGCTGAAAGTGGCTAGAATACCTCTCCTCCTAGGTTGATGCACTGGAAAAGCCTGTCCAGGGAATGCCTGTCTCCAAGGCTATGCATACACAGCATGGTTTATGTGTCTGAACTATGTCTGAACATACTGAAAGTCTTCCACCCCATTGGCTGGGCACTGGTCCTCATCTGTGCTTTCTTGAGATTGCCTTGCCTACTGAGATTATTATTTCCGATCTGTAATCGTAGACTTCCTTCCTCAGGCCCCTTGCTGCAGACACTGGCCTCCCATGTTGTGTGGGAGCAATCATTCTGAACATTGTGGTGCAGGTATTATGTCGGACAGCCAGGTTTCTACCAGCTGCTGATAACTGCTGACATTTCACTAACAGAGAAGTGAGAAACTTGGTGCACCGGAAGCACAAGAAGGTCCCAAATGCTCTCACTTTCACTGTCTACACCTGACAATGCATCAATTTAGTTACATTTCATTTCTCTTATACTCTTTTAGGTAGGAAATGTCCAGTATGCCCTTTTTAAACAGTCACCAGACCAAGGACCACCATATATGGAGTTACTAGGAATAAGAATGGAGGGACATGGTTTATCCATGGAAAACTCTTTAAAAGGTTTTGACTCTGTAGTTACTATGATAAGAAGAATTATGACCATAGTGATAAATCATCAAGATAATCACCTTGTTCATCTCTGCATCTTCTTGGAAGCCTTTCTTATGACTCTGGACCAGTTCAGACATCCATTTCTTAAATTTCAAGAGGAGATAGAGCAAGGACTTTGGACTTGGCACAAGATTGAAGGGGACAGGAAGTGTTCTTCCCTCCTCAAAGTAGGAAAACCACAGTTTGGCCCTTGCAAACTTCCACTCCACGTCAGCATCATCCTGTACAGATAGACACAACTGTTCAGCATGGAAACAGAATTATCAGGTTCTTATAACTGTGTGGCTAGATTGAAGAGGCAATGGCTACAAATAGCCTGACTCCCAACTGATGGCTTCACAGAACACTGAATCCACACATTCTTTCTGAAGTCTGCTTCAGATTTTACTAGGTTTCCTGGACTACTGGTCTCAAAACTCAAAACACTAAACAATGTATATGTCAAATGTGCTTTCTAAAACACCGTAAAATATATTCTTCATTCAATAACTTAGTCATTAAGGATATTCTGGAATCAAAACTTCTGAAATATAAACTTACACAGTCATCACCAATCTCAGAAAGGATTAATTCTGAATGTAACTCGAAAAAAGATTTGGGCATTATATTATTTGTAAGCAATATATTTTTTCCTTTTTTGTTGTTATTTTAAAATAGATTCTTACAATATAGTCCAAGCTGGTCTGAAACTCATGTTGATCCATCTGCCTCAGCCTCTCAAATGTTGAGATTACAGGGTTAGGCTATCACACCTCACTGATAGCAATAATTGTTGACTAAAAATTAATTCATCATTAGGTACAGTGGCACATAAACTCGGAAGGAGAAGGTTGGAAGATCAGGAGCTCAAGGCCATCCTCTGCTATGCAGCAAGTTCTAGGCTAACTTGAACTACATGAGATGCTATTCTTTAAAAAAAAAAAAGTAAAACAGCAAAACATCACAAAAAATAAAAATTCATCTTGATAGAGTAGTTCAAAAACCAGTAATAAATCAGACCATTCTATCCCTTATACTCTGATGATTCAGCATAGCCCATTGATATTGTGTTTAAAAGTAAAGTTAGGCTTCTCTGCATTCCTAGACCAACACGGATCATGCAATCATAGAAAGTGGAGAAATGACAGAGCAGGGAGAGTGTGTTTCATTCCATTGATTAGTTTATCCTTACTGCTTGGTCAGAATCAACACCCTAAACACCCCTTTATACAAGAAGTCTGGATTGTTTGTCTGGTGGCTTCACCCCAGCTCCTGGAATAAGCCCCTCCCCAGGGAGGGTCAAGACTACTCCCACAGGCTATTTAAACTGCCCCCAGAGAATGGTCTCCAGGTTTCGCGTGGTCTCCCTTTGTCTCTCTCTTCCTCTCTATATGCTTTCCCAGGGCTACCTGGGAGCATCTCATTAAATATGGACGTCCTTTAATTTGGTTTAATTTGGTCTGATTGGAATTATTTATGTCGGCAAAGAGGCTCATCTTAAGAAATACCTAACGCTTAAAATATGTGAAATGTGAGTGTGGACTATAAGAATGTATAGATTTCATACCTCAATTTCTTGGAATGAGCTGTTGATCATCGCAATTAACATATTTAGCAAAACAATAACCATCGTGACATTATAGACACCATACAGAACATAGCCAATGTTTTCAATGAACTTGTGATTGTAGTTGATGACCACCGACTTTACTTCAGAAAGCCCAAATATAGCCCAGAACAAAGTCTTAAAACTTTCCTCAACTCTAGGGGGAAAATAACAGAAAGAAGAATATGAGCAAAGATATGAATACATAGTAATAGCATCATCATAAATCTGAGTGGTTTCAATATCCTTGCAAACTATTAGATACTCATGAAAAAAATATTTGCTTGTCTGAACTTTCAATTTTCTTTTGGCAAAATGGGCAATATGGCAGTTCTAGGTTCCTTGCTAAGATTTGATATTGTGCAGGTGACGCACATAGCTGACAGCTAGCACAGACACTTGTTAAAGGCTGTGGGATAAATTCATTACTACGGACGTTGACAGTTAAATGATTGATAGATTTGGCAATGGAATAGTTAAATGGATTACTTAATAAAAAATTCTACTTGTTAGAGTCATTTTAGTTTCTGATTCATCTGTACTTCCATCACACAGAATTAATAGAAAATAATGATATATATCAGGAAACATGACAATATAAATGTAGACATGTCACCAAAATTCTTGGCATGCCCTAGGAAGAATTGTGATAGTTTAAGCATAATCATTTGTCCAGAGTTAAGCCCATATGTTTAACCTAGGTGGTTTAATTTTCTTTTGAAAAAATACACTCTAGAAGAATATGAAAAACAGCAGGCTTCTTTTCACATGCCATTTTCCATGTGACATAGATGCTCTGAAATTTAAGACACCTATTCCATCAAAGTTTATTCAACCTGTATTGTGTATAACGAATGTAAGTCATAATCTTGTCCCCGTTGCTACTTACAATCTGGTCAATGATAAATTCTGGGAAACTGAACTAGGAGAACAGCTGTCCTCACCCAGTGCCTCAGGAGCCCAGAAGGCACAGGATTTAGGACAGTGGACGCTACTTAGTAAACAGTGTCAGCACTTATACAACATCCAGAACATGAGTTAGCTTTTGTGGATTTTAGTTTCTTCATTTTGTGCACTGTTGAAAATAATGGTATGTATAGGAGAAATCTATCATATAATATGACTCTAAAATGTTATTTATCATTGTTTTATATTAGGAAGATTTCTATATGTTGGTCTTCTTATAAGTCACACTAAAACCTCCCTATCTTGCTGAACTAGACATAGAGGGGGTGTCTGCATCAAAGTATGAACCAATGAACATAGGTGCAATTGAACACATCTCCATTTGATCTGCAAATTCTATCATCAGAATACCTAGGACCACATACGTTGTGAAGGCTTCATTCTGTTTTGCACCAATGTAGTAGGAGTAGAGGTTGAACATTCCAATCATAAAGGCTACAAACACCATGATGAATATGACCATGAATTTGAAGATATCTTTTACTGTTCTTCCAAGTGAAATCTGCAGGGGTCCAAAGCTTTCATTTGCTGGTAAAATGTAAGCTATTCTGGAGAAACTTAAAACCACAGCAATTGCATAGAGACCTTCAGAGATGATTTGGGGATCAGACGGGTCCCACTTTATCCTGGCTAGAAGAAAATCAGAGACAAGGATTACAGCAATCCCTATGAGTTTCTCGTTTAGACGAATTATTTTCTGAGAAAAATAAATATATAATCAAGTGAAAGTCTTCATTCTGAAGACCTTCTCAAGTGTCTGCCATATCTTCTGACTTGATTGAATTATCAGTAGGGTATAATTCCAAATCTTGTAAACCTCCCTGGTAGACCAGTTGAGCAACTGTCCCTATTGATAGCTATATATCTTCAACTGAAATAATCTATACAAATAACTCCTTATAAGATTTATTCTTCTCTTTCTAACAATGAGACAGTACTGATACCATGGCTCTCATCAGCCCTTCAAAATTTAAAAAAAATTTCATATACGCACAGTGCTTTAAAACATCTGGCACTTATTACTTTATAGCATTTATGATTCAAGCTTGAACTAAAATAATGTCATTTGATGGTTATATACTTCTTATTTAAACTTATCAGAAATACTTTTTATTGATCAATAAAAACAAGTCTATTTTTACCACAATTTTTTCTATAAATCATTAATAATTTCTTCTGGCAATATTACATTAAACCATCAAAAACCACTTAAGAAATCATTATGAAGAAAATGCAAAATAGCGTGTAGAAAGGAGGAAATATGATTATAAATTTGCATTTGGTTATTTTCAGAGAGTGGAATTAGGAAAAGATAACACAAAACTTATGAGTATGGTTTCTTTTATAGTATTTTGAGTATTACCTATAAATAGATATCTTTGAGTATACTTTGAAACTCTTAAACACTTAGGATTGAAATAAATACAAAAGTAGATAATGAGGAGACTTTAGTGATATAGACAGTAAGCGTACAAAGATGCCAGTTGAATATTAATAAATATAGTTCCCTAAGTCAAATTCTTATGGGTGGGATGATTTTCTTGGACAAATATTGAAACGTATTTCCTTTCATTAGTCATTTTTCCCCTGGGGAAATAAGTAGCTCACCCTGGTTTGTTAATCTGAAATGGTAACCATATTTACTTCGATCAAGGGGTTGGCATCGCCTTCTTTCTTTGGGACTTCTCCTGTCCCCACAGAGGCATCCCTCAAGACCCACCACTTACAGCCACCACAATGCCATCCCTCTCTACTCCAAATTCATTTGTTTGCTTTATCTCTCAACTCTTTCAGTGTTTGAGACACTGAAAAAATTCTTCAAAAAAAAGACTTCAAAAATTCTTTTACTTTGACACAGTTCATATGTCTTAAAAGTAAAAACTTTCAAATATAAACTTTTAAAAGTCATGTTCAATGTCACATATGTTGACATGTCATGCTGATTAAATTAATATAATTAACATATTGATCACTTCACATACTGTTTTTTTGTGGTAAGAACATTTAAAAGTTACTGTCTCAGAAATTTTCCATGTATGGTACATTGTGGTTAACTACAGCCACCATATTGTATGTCAGAACACCAGCATTCATGGCTTGTATCTAACTACAGCACTTCCTCCTCTTTGACACACATGTCTCCATTCCTGCTGACCACCATCATGCTCTACTCCTATGAGACATGTGTAAGAGAGATCATGAGATTTTTTTTCCATGCCAGTCTTGTTTCATGTAGCATGATGTTCATCATGGTTTTGCAACAATCACCTCCTTTCTTGTTTAAGGTCAAGTATCGTTCCATTATGCGTAGATAGACATCTCTCTATTTTAACATTTCACAGTTGTTGAAAATGTTCAATAAACAAGTATCTGATGAACTCCTGCCATCAAGCATCCTGTCAAATGCTCAGACAAAGTCTACATGAAGAAGCCATATTTGATCCACTGTCACTACTCAGAGCTGCTCTTACAGAAACACCACTAATGGAGCTTATTCAGGTCTGTGCATTAGGCAAGCACACACATGAGTTTTAAAAGTGAACGAATCAACAGGTTACTGAAGTAGATGGGGGTGCACAATATGATATCTGCTTTCTTACACCACCAGACAGAAGTGCAAACAAAATAGGAGATTTTACTGGAGACGTTGCAAGAAAGGGAATTCTTTCATGATATGGAAGGCACGGTGGCTAGAGTACAGACATCCTATACTGGCATTTCTCTGGATCACTGTCTCATGTGACCCCTCTTATTAGAGAGAGAAAACTGGAGAAAAGGCTCAGCATTTAAGAGTTCTTGGTGCTCTTGAGATTTTCCCAGCACCCAGGTTGAATTGCTCATAATTACCTGTAGCTCCAGCTTCAATGACCCTAACAACTTCTTGACTCTTTGGGCACTCAGTCTTATGTGGGAAACACAGAAAAAAACTCATTTAAAAAAGAAAACAGAAAAATATACAATTATAAGGTATGATACAGGAATTCTCAGTGGATTTGGTAACTATCCGGTTGTTCCAAGAAGTAATGGTAGATGGTTCTTGTGGTTAATAAAGGATTCCAAGCAGAAGATAAACCAAATGCAGAGGCAAAAAGCACAGTTCTTCAGATAATGATGTCATCTTCAAATACAGATGCCATCAATAAACTGGAAAAAATGACTACTACTTATTTCTCCTTCACAAGACAAGACTTTATCTTCAGTAGTTTACACAGTAACATACACTCACCCAGATTGTAGTACTTGACATTGTCTCCCAGTGGAACTGTTGTCAAGTCCTTCAAAGTGTCATTTGCATCAATGATGCTCTGAGCTTTGGATGCATGCCAGAATGCCATAAATCTTGCAATGAATGATGCTGCAAAGATTGCAAGCATCCCAAAATCGAGCATATTCCATAACTCAAATAAGTACTCTTTAGGGCCTTGAGTCCAGATCTCTTTACATTCAGCCCATATCATGCCTGCGTGAGTAAAGGATTAACATATCAGCTCGATTTCCTGCTTTAGCTCTTCCGTGAAGAAAAACAAATGGAAAGATCTCACCTGATAGTCCCAACTCCGTAAATAATTCCCTTACCTTCCTCTCCAGCCACCATCTCCCCACCCTCAGAAACCCAGTCCAACAATATTACCAAAGAACCTGAAAGCACTCAAGCAAAACTGATCAAGAATCTCAAACAAAACACACCACAGTGATCTTTTATTTCTAGTCATGGAAAAATAATTAATATGTTCACTGTAATATCCCAAATACAAGATACCCACACACTCCCAATGGAAGAGTTCACATTTTCACAATGGAATTATGCAGACATTTGTTATGATATCTTGTAAGTTATTATACAGATCATGGGAACTACCTGCCGGCATCTAACTACAGAACCTTTCTTATTTTTTTCTTTCATTTTTTTTTGTTTTTAGTTTTTTGAGACAGGATTTCTCTGTGTAACAGCCCTAGATGTCCTGGAACTAGCTCTTGTAGAGCAGGCTGTCCTCAAACCCATAGAGATCTGTTTGTCTCTGCCTCCCGATTGCTGGGATTATAGGCGTGTGCCATCACTGTCTGGCAAACTACAGAACCTTTCTTGACCATTAACATTGGTACTGTCTTCTGAAAACCACTCACAAGAAAATGTTCTTTAATAAAAGATCATACTTTTAGGGTAAATATTGTATGTTAATTCTTTCCACATGTATCTTGAGAAACCAGAACACATACCATAAGGTTAAATTAAAAGGTTTAAATGGAATGCAGTCTGTGAACAAATTTAAAATGAGCATCTTGAAAGACTAGAGGAAATTACAGTAGCTAATTGTATCACTGCACTAACAGTGGCTGACTTTTTTGATGAAATTATTAATAATATTTCATGTTTTTCTGAAACCTTACTGCAGCATTTAGGAGCATTGGTTGTGAGATTTTTCTGCAATAATTGGCTGCAGAGTCTTCGGCAAAGTGTTTAAACTTTTTAGAATGTAGTTTGCAAAATGAGAATGTAACATGTGCCTACTTTACAAGACTGCAATGTACAAATAAAGTAATATGTGTAAAATGTAGTGTGCTGTGCTGGCGTTCGTGAAGAAACAATGGCCAGAACTCTGAGCACTTGCTCCTTTGATTTATCCATAATATCCACATGTACTCTTTCTTAACTTTAAAGCTATTGCTTGATTAAAAAGAAACTAAAATGGTGTCCTTTCTGAAACCCATCTCTTCCTGGAGCCCCATGTGGAAATACAATTCACGCACTGATTCAAGTCTTCACTCATAAAGAACTTTCTACGCTGACTTAGAAGCAAGCTTCTCCCCTAACCTCCAGCACCCCCTGCCTCAGTTCCCACATCCACCTCCCATCTATCACAGAGCATGTTGGTCCAGCTGCTGAGGAACACTGGCAGATGAAGAAAATGCCACGGTCTTTGCTATTCAAGAACCATTGTATGCTTCTCTCTGCACAGCACAGAGAATGTGGTCTTATGGCAGACAATTTCATTACTCTCATTAGGTAATTTTAGGTTAGCAGGCATTGGTATGGGCTCATATAAATTTATAAGAGGAAATAGTGCAAGACTCACATTCGCACAAAAAGCAATGAACAAGGTGGAACATCTATGTTCTTGGTGTGGTCCCCAGGTTTTCCCAACCTTACCAAAGACTACAATGGTTCAGAGGAATACACAGACCAAGGGGACATTGGACATCACACTGTCCAGTAGTTTTCAAAGCTTTCCTTTTCGACTCGTACCTTTGCCTCATCTTTTTTTATGGTATAAGTGGTAGCTTGCTGCAGCTGCCAAACTACAGCTACCACTCAGAGTTATTCAGCCTGAAGGAAGTGGGATTGTCTAGTTGCCTCTCCGCTGCCCCCACCTCTGGGTTGTTGCTTAAGGACCTTTGAAATTGCCTACATTAAGTCTGATTTCTCCCCCCATACAGAGAGCTCCCCACCGGGGCCACACTGCTTAAACAGCACGGGATTGCAGTCTTACTACTTCTGAGGGAGGCTTGCTCTGCTGCCAGATTGTGAGGACACTCTCTTCAAAGAGAATGTGCTCACTCTATTTCTGTACTCTGGAGCAGTGGAGACTGTATCCACTCTTTCTGCATTTGAATTTCTCTAAAGAGCAACCCACTTGTGTGCTCACTGAGTTTGTTCTTCTCCAGCAGAGCTTTGCTTACCCATGAAACTAAGGCAGCTTGAGTGTCAATGTGCCCTGCTTTCCCCTTCTTCCAGGCATATTTCATCTTTTTCTCTACATGGCCACCCCCACCAATGGAATAAGCTTAAAGTTACAATATTGAACCCCCTTCTTTCCATTATCTTCAGTAATGAAAACAAACTCCCCCAAATCCTCTGAGGACCACTCTGTGGAGTCAGTCTCTCTACAGTGGCTACGACAGACAGGTAAGCACCCTCGTTTGTTAATCTTGCAGCCAAGGTTTCTGCAGCAGAGCAATGACAGCCCTGACTTTGTCTTAGCCTGTTCCAGTCAACCCAGGATTGCTTTGTGCTTTCTCAGCAGATCACTGAGGGTCACAAAGGACAAGTGATTCCTGGACTTCCGAACATGATGCGTTCTCCAGCACAGCTTTGCCCTGTGTTCCTGCTAGACCTTTCACCGAATCCTGCCTTGTCACAGTCTCTTGCAACTCCACTTCTACTTCAGCTTTCCAAATTTTCATCAAATGAAAATCACAGATTTGCTTCTTGCTAAAAATAACAAAACAAAAAACCACGAGTCTTTCCCAGCAATACTGTAACACACCTGGCCTGTGACCGACATAACCTACTTCTCATTAATATTTCCAGAAGCCTCTGTGACTTCCTTGCAAGTCAAAAACACAAGAAAATAAATAGCAGTGCCAGAAACTGAGCCAGGAACCTCACATATTTTGCACGTACATAACTAAATCTTTTGATTTGCTTTTGTTCTCTCTTCAAATAAACATTGTAGGACAATTTCTGAAGTAAAACACAAAGGTTAGGAGGGCAGTTTTTCCATGGAAAATGTTGTTTTCTTCATAGCATTAAAGGTTAATTTAATATTCTCAGCTTTTGTTTCTCATTGAAAAATACCTAAGTCTATACTAAAAATTAAATTATATGAAGAATGAATTTTGATAAAGAATGAAATGAGCATTCATTATCTCTAATACTATCAATAAAATTTATTTTCTTTTCAAAACTATGTCTTGTATCTAAAGAGATATCTCTTGTCTAATAGAGAATGCTTACTGTATATAAAAACAGATAATATTTAGCAAAAAGTTTAATAATCATCATAATTATTTGAGACTCTTTGAGACTGTCCTATGCTCAATTTCCTGTATTATACATTTTACTTATATTAATATAATAAAAAAAACCCTCATAGCTCTGAGTATAATAAGATAGAGGCTATGAAATAATATTTACTCTTAAGTCATAAAATAGAGAGAAAAAATCTCTTCCAGTTTTGTCAATTAATCTAAAAAAGAAAGAGTTAAAGAAAAGTCAAGTCCTATCATGTGTCCAAGGTCACCATTATTTTAGTAAAACCAAGAGGAAACTATGTTTTCCCTTGAAACTTGTCAATAAAATGAGTAGTTTAAAAGTTTTGAATAATTCAGGAGCTGTTAAATTACTTCAAAGAGTTAAAAATAATCATACCAGAGCCAGGCAGTGGTGGTGCATGCCTTTAATCCCAGCACTCAGGAGGCAAAGGCAGGTGGATCTCTGTGAGTTCAAGGCCAACCTGGTCTACAAGAGGTAGTTACAGGACTCCAAAGCTACAGAGAAACCCTGCCTCAAAAAATAAAAACAAAAAATAATCATACCATAATTGTTATATTACTTCCTAATATTTCAATTGATCATCCCTTGGACTGAAGAGGCCTAGAAGACATGGATGAATTGGCAGCAGGTATTTCCCCGCGTGACTAAGATGGACAGCTGATGAAGTGCACCTTCTGGACTATGGGAGATTCTGTAGGAAGAGTCTTTGAGTCTTCTTAGACTCTACACAGTTCCCCTGAGGGAATTTCATGCAGTCAAGGCCTTAAGAGTCACATGAGAATGAAGAATTTCTGGAACTTTGTCTATATCCAGGCTTATTCCAGGAGTCATTCTTCCTATGACTCAGTTGACATTTATCCCTGGAAATGCTAGGACACTTCAGAGTTAACCATAAATATAATGAAAAGTTTTTTTTAAGCTCCCCATCCTAATCAGGAACATCTCTATCCTCCCCCCATCTAATCCACAATCCTCCTTGTAGACACACAACTTTACCATGATATTCACAGGATAACCTCTAAGCCACTCCCAGGTCCTCTCCGCACATGCTCAACTCAGGTGGCTCTTGCCATTGTTCAGTGCAGTTGGGCTCAGCCTCTGGGCTCACCCCTCCTTCAAGTCTCCCACTACCTCAAAACCACCGAAACTTTTCTGAAATGTGCTCTGACCCATCACCAGGCACTGGAAATCACCCTCTGACCATTTAACCATCCACCTCTATCCCCCGCATCCATGAAGTCTCCAGACACCAGCGAAAACAAGCTCAGAATGGTTCAAGAGGTCCACTCTTGTTATAGTTCCACACCTCAGCACCTAATGCTCCCATGCCTCTGAGTCCTTATCCCCCAAATGCTCAGTCTGGGAAACAGGTCTTCATCCTCAACGCCTAGTTAGAGGAGCCTTCGGTATTTAAGGGAGGACTCTGCTGCTTATTCTGCATCCCACCTCACTAGTATTTCAATGTCCAATCTGCACTTCTGTAGCATCTTAACAATTCCTCAACCATAGCATTTTTTCATGAATGATATTTAACTACTGACTTTTATTTATTACCCAGATTACATCCTTGAATGGGAAGAATGCATCCCACTAAACTTAGTATCCTCAACAGCTCAAGAGCTGTTGAATGTGTTTGCTCATAAATATCCAAGTGAGACATTTTTCTTACATGCTTTCTATTTAGTGGCAATCCTCAGATGAAAGCAGGTTCTAAGGACAAATCAAATCTTGTCATGCTTCCAACTGACTTCCTCACCTTTCACAAGTCACCTGAGGAAGTGATCTACCTACTCTTCACATACTTCAATAAGAAAGATGCTATTATATGTAGCAGATTGGAAATCTGAGGTACAGAAAGACTGTGTGGCCTGATGTAAGTCAAGGGCTTTGAACAACTCCCTGTACATAACACATTTTCAGTCCAAATGAGTGGCTACTAGTTTTAATTTCGCTTAATCCCAACATAAAATGACAAGGTTGCTTTCAAGTTTGAACTCAAAGCTATCCAAACTGCACATAGGATGTTTTGCTTATTGGTGGTGGGTTTGGTTAATAGTGGCGTGCTGATTTTCTTCCTTTTGGGGGGAGAGAACGCAATTATCACAGGGCATATAAAAAGAATGACGTTAGTAATAAGAGTACCATAGCAACTGTGTAAGATCACAAATAAAGTCACGGTGCATGGAACTCTGTTTCCTGCTGCATACATTTGTATAACTGATTGTGTGGACGAATCAGCATGATTCAGTCTGATTGCTAAGGCTGCAAAAAGGAACAAGACAGAAAATCAGTTTTTACCTATTACCCAGGATATAATGAGCATCTCCATCCATGAGAAGCAGGATGTTTTCATCCTGAACAGCTGTCTTGCATTATCTGTGCTGGTTTCATTAGGGAGGAGCTTGGTGCCTTCAAATCTGTCAGCTGCATTCATGACAAGCAGCCCCAGGAAAATGGTGAAGGAAGCTGCGTGTGCTACAAACTTCATGAATGGTCCACGCATTATCTTCCCCATCTGCCAAAACACACATCAACAGAAAAAAATCTTAATCTCTGTCTCTCTCTCTCTCTCTGACACACACATATACAAACACACACACACAAATACACAAGTATCTGCTTATTTTAATGTTCTCCTGAAATAGCCATATGTATTTTTATGATTAGTAACAGAAAATCATTTTTAGGCTGTTGTAAAATTTTGTCCATGTTCTTTTGCTTGCTGAAGTTTCTAATAATTGAAAGCTAACTTCTCTATTAGGAATATCTAAATTCTTTTGCTGGAGAGATATCCCAATTAAGAGTGCTTACTGCTCTTCCAAAGGACCCAAATCCATATCCCAACACCCTCATGGGGTAGCTCACAACCACCAGTAACTACATTCCCAAGTGATCTGATGCCCTCTTCTGGTCTTCTTCAGACACTCACACCTATATGGCAGGTCCACAAATGCACACAGATTCATAAATGAAACAAATCTTTTAGGAAAAAAAACATTTAAAATCTTAAGGTGTTGTTATTGCTGGTTCAGATGCAGAAGACACTATCAGGACACTCATAGGGAGCAAACTCATTCAGTGAGCCTAAAGCATGAAAGAAAGAACAATGAAAACATTCAACAATTCTGTATTCTAATGTTTAAAGAGACAGAGTACAGATAGTTATAGTTTAAAAGAAATAAAGGAAAATAAGCCCGGCTAGCTCAGTCAGTAGAGCATGAGACTCTTAATCTCAGGGTCGTGGGTTCATTCTCCACATTGGGCACCACTCTGTAGTGAGGAGCAGCAGGCTGCCTTCCCACTGCCTGGCTCCTGCATGGCTAACTTTACCCAAAATAGTTACATGGAAACTGTATTCTTTTAAACACTGTCTGGCCCATTAGTTCCAGCCTCTTATTGGCTAACTCTCACATCTTGATTAACCCATTTTTAATAATCTGTGTAGCCCCATGAGGTGTGGCTTACCAGGAAAGATCCTAACCTGCATCTGTGTCGGGTGGGAGAATCATGGCGACTGCCTGACTCGGCTTCTTTCTCCCAGCATTCTGTTCAGTCTACTCCACCTACCTAACTTTCTGTCCTATTAAAGGGCCAAGGCAGTCTCTTTATTTAGCCAATGAAATTGACACAAAACAAAAGACTCTCCCCCATCATTCCAAAGCACAGACCCTGAGTTTCATCTCCCGCGTGTATTACTAGCATATGTGCAGCTCTGGCTTTGGATGAGGGCTTGTGGACACTGTCATGGCATGAAAGTCATGGAGATCAGCATAGCATCTCCCCTGGAGGACTGTGCACACTGGAACCACCAGCTAAAATGGTACCAACTTTAAAGTTCAACATTTTGGGATCAGACTTCACCTTCATCATTTTGTTTGCTGGATGAAATGAGTACATTTCTTGCCATATGTGAAAACTGGATCCTTTCTATGAAACAGAGAGATGATAAGACTACATGGTTAGATTAATTTCTGTCTGAAATGTGGCCTGGACAGAGGGAGAATCTAGGCTATACCTCAAGGCTCTGGATATTCTCTAAAATGATAAATGAAACCACCCAAAATCAAAGGTAAGCATATATAATACATAATGAAACACCTGTAAAAATATGATGAAACCCACAGTTTTTACACAACAAATAAATTAAAAAGGTTGACTAACACCAATGATATGGACAAAATCTCAAGGAATCATATTGTTTTAATTTATTAGAAGTTATACTATACATACACAATATACAGGAAATTATGCCTATATGCCGCCTTATCTGACAATACTCTCCGAAGAACCACAGATTAAGAAAAACCTAAGTAATCAAGCATAAGAAACCACCTTTCGAATGCTTAGTCAAGGTAGTCCAAGCTATTCCCCACACAGTAAGGATTAGACATGAAGCCTTTGGTTGCCTCTCAGGGGCTAAGGGAGGTCTCTCCCATGGAACACAGTCCATACTTATGACACAGGACTTGATGACTCAAGCTGGATCTGTGGGGTAGCTTCCATGGTACCAGAAAATACTTCCCAAGCTGTCAAAGAAAGGAAGCAACTAAACAGTCTTACCAAACAGCAACATCTATGAACTATGACATCTACCAGCAAGACAAGACATCTGTACAGGTGCAGGAAGTGGCACTCACATGTTGGGGGCAGCCATCAGCTGTGCAGTCAGAATTAAGGTCCACACAAGAGCAGAGAAAGCAGGCCTGGCACTAGAAGCCTGCACAACTTTCCCTAGCTTTTCATGGGTCATAAAGTTAAGATAAGAACATTACCTCACTTTCTTAGATTATCATTATTCCTTACTAAGTTCTAAAATGTATCTAGCTACCATACCTCATGAAGGAACCCTTACCTGAGACCATCATAGGAAACCATTACTGTACACAACACAGAAACCAATAGATCTATCATGGGGAGCCCAGGCCTAAAAGGCACATCTACAACATAGCTCTTGCATTCTTGGCTCAGCGAACTTCATGGAAACAGGCTAAAATATTGTAAATGTCAGAACACCAGGAAGTCTGCTGGGAAACAGTGTTCCCTAGAAATGGTTACACAAATAAGAAAATAATGGCAATAGACAAAGAACTGTAGGCCAGTATTGACTGCTGGGAGAGGAGAATTAGCCTCTCTCAGGGATGACAACCCTTATTGGTTGTTCAAATGCACAACAGTCAATCCTGAAATCATACATACACCCACACACCACCACCACCAAACATATTTGTGCAATATGCATACATATATATGTATATAAATATATATAAGGGTATGAATCAAAGAAAAAGTGGCTACCAATGTCAGAGATGTGGGGTCAAGGCAGGGCTTCAGGCAGGGTGGTTGGAATTGGTGGGAGAGAAAAGGGGAATGGGGGAAATTAATGTATTAATATTTCAACTAAAACATATTTAAGAAAAGAAAAATTATGTGTTTAAAATAATTTAAAGGAAGTGCTTCCCTTTAAGCATTATATATCACAGTCTTCTAGGTTTTCATCTATCAGCAACTGAAAGAGAAGCAAGAACTTCATGAAGATATATATTCCTAAAATTTTATCTTTATTTTTGTGGATATATAAGAAAATTTAAAGCATTTTAAATAGAAGCATCAGTTTAGCCAAAGATACCTCTCACTATTAAATCAGCTCTATGGACCAGTAATAATGTTTAGTTCATTGCTAATGAGAAAGTTATACACTTTATTATCATGATTCTCAGGATAAAGAATAGCCGATAAAACAGATTCACCTAAAATGAGGAAAATTTTCCAGTGATGCTTTATTTAACCTGTGCTTGCCTTGGGGTTTATAAATTAAGGTTGGGAAACAGATGTGAGAAAGAATCATAACCAGAGAAGGAGAAACAGCAAAGGAAGTCAGAAAATTAAGATTCAGTTAAAATATGAGAAATGTGTGAGCCTGAAGCAAACCACAAAGGCTGGAGTCAGAGTCTGGAGCTGGGGAGGCAGCGAGCTATGTCCTTATTGTTCATAGAAAGGAATGCCATTCATTGCAGGAAGTTGTCACACTGCATGTCCACAAGCGAGAGCAAGGACAGTTCAGATACTGGGCCCCGACACTTGATGACATGGGAAACAGGAGTAAAGGCACAGCAGATTTTAGATACAGATGCAACTGGTGTTCAGAAGGGCATTAGCTAGAACACACACAGGCAAGACCCTCTAACTCTAAAGGAGCGAGAAAGTAGAAGACATTGAAAAATAGATGAGAACTCAGCAGTTACATATAAGCCACAATTCCTAAAAAGTGAAGTCCTAGATCTACCTACAACTATGGACAGATTTCTTAACATTCCTATGCTCAAGTTAAGTTTTCTTAGCTGTGGAATTGAAAGTCAGCATGGAAATTCACTCTTTTGAGGGCCTTTTGTTAGTATCGTGCTACAAAGTGCGCTTGGGGTATATTTTGTACTATCACTACTATAAGAGACCAGGGGAGTTTTAAATATTGAGTAATGGGGAACTTCGAAATCTTATACTATGGTATGAAGGGGAGCTGGAAAAAATAACTAAAATTCAATATGTAAGTATATGTAACTGTCAAACAAAAATTAAATTTAAGAAGAATTTGTCCTATAAAAATGGGAGGGGTGCCAACAAGAACTAAGCAGGTGTTTAGGTTCTTGTTGCTCAAACCTGACAATCTGAGCTCAATCCCTGGAATCTATATAAAGGTGAAAGGAAAGAACACATTTTACAAAGCTGCCCTCTGATCTCCCGACGTGTTCTATGATATACACACCCACACCCACACACACATGGCGGAGGGAGATAATAAATGTTTTTCAATTAATTGGGATGGGAATACAACTTCCTATAAGAAAACCTGCATTATAAATGTCATTTCTAACAAATCTATTTTGTTGACATCAATAATGTGTACTTTATATATATAGTCAAGTTTGGGTCTTATGTATAATAAGGGGAAAATTCCATGGGGGTGAATTTTACTCATGTGAGAAAATGCCATGTTTCCATTATCCCCTGACATCATCACTGTAAAAAGTCAGGAAACTTTTTTTGTGTAAGAAACCTTGCACCAGCATCCTAACACGTGTCAGGATGAGGTCCATCAGATGCTAAAATGCTGGCACTGTGCCTGGGTGCTAAGACAACATGCTGGAAATGCTGACACATGCTCTCTCCCTCGTAACAACTGCGTAAGAGTCCTACCTGTATCTAGGAAATGCACTGATGGCCTGGTGCGTTTACCCAGTGTAGAAGTAGGAATGGTGGGCTGCTTCCTGCCACCCAGCTAGCTTTACCCGAAACAATTACACTGAAACTGTATTCTTTTAAACACTGCCTAGCCCATTAGTTCCAGCCTCTTACTGGCTAATTCTCACATCTTGATTAACCCATTTCTAATAATCTGTGTAGCACCACGTGTCTTACCGGGAAGGATCTTATTCTGCGTCCATCTCGGAGAGGAGAGCTATGGTATCTGCCCAACGATGCTTTCTTTCTCCCAGCATTCAGTTCTGTTTAATCCACCTA